AATTACAAGTAAAACATTAAATTTGTATTTTATGCTCTATAGCATAATTATTTTCAATTTTAACCTTTCCAAGTAATTAAAAAATTACAATATTCTAATTATATTAATTAATGCTTTATAAAATTTAATTATACAATATCAAACATAAAATAATTATAATTATAATTTTTCTAATTACTTTAAATAATTAAAATTAAAAATAGTCGTAAATATCATATTTATAAAAAATTTTATGAAAGGAAAGAATATTACATGTATTTATAATATAAATTTTTTTCATCAATAGGTTCGTATATGTTCCCGCGCAAAGTCGAAAATGTGAAATTAATTTGTGCATTTCTAAGTATATGGGCCTCGTATGAACAATTGAAAACAAATTTTATTCTTGCAAAACTACGTAAAAATTCTTGTGGTAAAGTTGTTTCTTTTGAACATAAAATACCACATGATGGTCTATTTAAGTATGTAGCAGGCCCTTTGCAATTGTGCGAAATAATTATATATTTAATGTTCTCTGCGATTCTTTGGCGAGCTTCTACATGTCATTACATTACTTTGTGGGTTGTATCAAATCAGGTAAGAAATATAAATCAATAAGAAATATGTTTTTTGATAAAAAGAGGTGCAATCACAAGTATATGTATATACAAATGATTCTTTTTAGTTGGAGTGTGCAGTTATGTCTCATCAGTGGTACCATAAGACATTTAAAAATTACCCAAAAGAGAGAAGGATTTTAATTCCTTATATATTTTAATTCCTTATATATGGTAAAACTTTTTATTGCGAAATTTTTATTTTTTTACTAAAAACAATATGATTCAATAATTTATATATTTAGTTGTAATTATAAATAAATAAAATAAATCCCAATGAATAAATTAGTTCAATGAATTTTTGTCCTATATTAATTTGAATACATATTTCCATTTACTACTTTTATTTTATTGTACAATGGTATTAAATGCAGATTCTTTTTATGTTACATACAATATATATAATGAACGTGATACAACATTTATAACAATATAACTCTTTACTTTAATTTGTAAAAAATCTTTCTAATTTTACATTCCATATGGAATTGCCAAATATTTTTCCTTCAATGAATGATGTATGAAGATATTTCCCTTCTATTTAGTTATTTGAATAATAAACTGAAACAAACAATTATTCTTCCCTGGGATACAAATGTAATATACAATTCTTATGAATATTCAAATGAAGCAAGATGATATTACTGAAATCTTTTCACTTTTACAAATAATATCATCATGCTTCAAAATGTTAAATTTGTTTGTATATAAAAATAAAATTTGTAACACACATACGTACCTATATGGATAGCCTTGAGCCTTGTTTCTAAATATTGACAGAAGAAAACTAAAGAAAAGTGCAACTAATACCGCACCTATCACAGCTAATATTTTACGCTTTTTAACGTCTCCTTTACGAGCTGCAGCCTCAGTCATTAAAATCATTCCTAATACCACTGCTCCATCTTTTTATATGTAATTAAGATCAATATCACAATATAAAATGGACACAAACCTAGTTTTATTTTTATGTAAATTGTTTTTTATAATTTTTGAATACAGTAAAAGGATACTCATAATCATAACCATATAGGTTTCCACTATAAATTGTCCTTGAGAAGATCCATGAATATAAGCTACATTGCCATTTGGTGATTTATGAACAAGAGGTGGTCCTCTGATATGATTCCACATTTGTCCAGAAGTCATATTTGTGACAAAGAACTGAAAATAAATAAATCAGGATTAATTGTTATAATAAAAAAAGTATATATTGAATAAAAATATATTTACCAAAGCACAAAATCCCCAAAGATTCTTGTTATAAATAAAGTCCAGGTTGTTACGTCTGAGATATAGACCAACTGCTACAATAACTACAAGCAGTGCAAATCCTACTGTACCTGAGTAATTTGGTGGTCTAAATATTCTTATCTGTAATCGACAAAATCACAATATTGCAAAAAATCTAGAAATCAAATTTAAAAAACACGTATGATAGAAATAAGAACAATTTTAATATAATAAATTTGATATGATACTATAATGATTGCTAATAGTATTACCTGAATATCTGTGCGTTCACCTATCCATTTTGCTATTGCTTCCGCACTAAACCCTACTCGCTGAATATCCATAGTATCGGCAGCTTTTGGTTTACCTTTGGGTGGGAAATGCATGTATACTGGTGCAGTATTCAACTTCAACTACAATAGAAAAATTTTACATTAATTATATATTTATATATCCTTGCATTTTTTACTTACCAATCGAAAGACTTCTGGTCCTTCGTCAAAATCGATAGAGACAAAGAACAACTTGTTGGAGAACAAATTAGAATATCGGAAGGAATTGGCCACTATTGTAAATTCATCATTGGCATGCCTAACATAATAATAACATTATAACGATATTATAATAAAATTATTGATGCACATAGGTTTTAAATAAGTAAAAACTTATTTAAACATAAATGCAAGTCAGTTCACCTGCAAATCTGACATTGTCTGTGAGGCGTCATGGCGGTAAACATAACAATAATAGAATAATTCCTTGGAGGAGCTTTAATGTACTGTTTAAATTTTGATAAATTAAATTTCAATATCGATTTTTTCATAGTCATCTCACTCAATTGCTGCACGCGCTCGGCCAAGGAGTTGCCTTGATTCTGGAAGAATAACATTTCAGAATCACATTTTACAGGTATATTGAGTTTGTCAAAGTTGAGTGAGATAAATGTGAGATATAGGAAGAGTTCTCACGTTTTTCGTTCTGTATTGACAAGTGACATAGCTTAGAACGGAAAGAAAAATCAGTACGATATAGAGCTTGTATTTCATCGTGAACCGGAGGTTTGATATGCTGCGCGGAAAATCAACACGATTAACGATTCCACCGGCGGCACATTAGCCAGCAGCACTGCCAGCAGTAGCGGCCACTGGTTATCGCGTGTAGACCACGATAGCTGGGATCAGTTGATCCACCGGGTACGGCGGGTACACGTGGCACTCGTCGTGCACGTATTCCACTGCATTCCACGAATACGATTCGAGAGTTCGGGTCGTTCGGGACTTAGGTTAGGAGTGTTGGAAAAAAGTTGGAGTCCTCGGCCAGACTCGGCCAGACTCGGCGAATCGAGCTATCTGTCTTTATTCCTGCCGCGTTTACAACACGCGCTTATAAATTAATACTAAGTTCATTTAAATTTTAAATAACACAAATCGACACAAATATTCTATCTTTGTCATTCATTGAATACCAAGAGAAATAGAACGTTTGTGTCGAGTGTCCTCTGAAAGGAAAGCAGTTTTACTGTAGGACAGAAATGAATTTCAATCTAAATTATTTCATTTTCTCTAAAAAAAAAACAATAGAAATCTAAGGAATAATTAAATAATTTCATATAATACCAAGAAAAGATCTCAATAAAACAATCCAATGAAGATAATCAGAAAAGTAAAAATAAATTTATTCTTAAATGAATAAATAAAGATTAATAAATTAATATGAATATATATGTTTTGGCTTTACTAATTGTAAGTTTTGTTTATATAGTATAAAACGATAATTTTAAGAATAGAAAATCAAGACACGGAATCTCATAAAATCGAGAAAGTAATGAAACTTGTGTATTTTTATAATAATTTAAAATAATTACAACATTAAAACATTTTATTCCAGATTTTATCATATAATTTTATAAATGTATACCATGGTACATTATATTAAACTAATAATTATATAACTTCAAAAGTTATATAACAATTGTATAACAAAAGCAAATGATAAATCACTAGCCCTAGCACTGAACTACTGAGTCTGCGTTTTTTCATTTAACGCTCATAAGTTCGTGGAATTATTTCATCCTTGTTGTTTATTAAATGTCAAACAAGGAAAAACGATGCTCGTGAGCGGTGCGAGCGATAAGTGGAATGCAGCTGAGTGTCGATTGCACATTCTCGTAAACTCGCGCGCTCATTGGGTGCTTTTGCAACGAATCGCAGCCGCGCTGGGGAACGAGTAACCGTCGTTTCAAATTAAAATAACCGATTCAACGAGTCCGGAGTCGGGTGTCGGGCAAGCTAAGGGGATCGTGGTTAGTAACGTGCAGTAGCGGTTAGTGACTTAGCGCGCAGTGTTTGGCGCGATCAAGCGCGGTCCATCCTGGTCCGCGTGATTTTGCTCTCGCGTGAGCGAGAGGTGCATGAGAACAATAACGATAACGGAAGAACATTGCTGCGGTTGTTCTACGCGACAATTTTTATCCTAACGACGATCTCGCGTGGCGAATCCGTCGAACTCGTCGACTCGATAGACCAGGCAAATCGCGCGCCCGCGCACGAGTAACACGACAGGATGTCCTTCTCCAAGGCAAGGATACAGCGGTTCAACGAATTTGGCAGTAAGTTATATCTTGGCGTCGAAACACGTGTCTCCAGGTAGAGAGTAACGTACCTGCTGCATGCTGATCTATTCTCGTTACCGACTAGTTTTTCGTCTAATCCACTTTAATCAGTACCTCTTTTTTTTGTTTATCTCATCTATATGCTTAGATTTGTTTTTTTTATTCTCGCATTAGATAGCACACCAGACGACTCTTTGTTTTCGCTCAAACTCACTATTTATCTATCTCACTTTAAATTTCAAACGAGGGGATAACCACTATCTGAAATATTGTCCCACAGATTACATGATTTCATTTAATTTTATATAATTTTGTTTGATGAGAAATAATTTTCCTCACTACATATGCGGTCATTTGGTAAAATAAACGCTTTTATCTAATATTACACAATTATTTCTTGTGTATGTAATTATCGGATTGTATATATAATTTCATATAAATTTTATAATGATTTTAGAGACTCCGTCCCACGATTACATTAAGTGATTACCCCCTCGCTTTCAAAAGTGTATGTATATATTAGTTTAACTAGAAAACAGATTTCATGTTATTAGGTTTTTGTTGATGACTGCCGGGACAAACGTGTTCGTTCTCTGGTCTGAGTATTGTGTAGTCATTTTTAACTTTTTGAAAGTTTCTTACGAGAAATCACCGAAGCTTGTGTCGTACATTGATTCCACAACTAAATTTACTGATTTCACTTCACCATTCTGCTGATTGTAATATCTTCGATATCGTATAAAGGAGACGCAAGCCATTAAGATTGGAGCTGCGTTTGGAGCTTCTATCCTTATTTTATGTCTAATAAACGATAAAGAAAGAAATTATAAGCATTAAAACGCGAGTCTACTCTCTAAAACTTTTAAGTGAGTTGTCACTTTAAAACATAAAATTTCTTCTCAAAGATTGGAAATCGTGCTCCTTTTTTAAGACACAATTTTTACAGTGAGATTCCACGCCAAAGAATTTAAAGAATACGTGCCTGTTGCCGGGAGATTGATATTCTCGAGATCTTCGATCGCGTATTTTGAAATGTGATGAAAATTACAAAGATGAGCAAATTTATTAGATGTTGACAAATTAAATTATAAATATGTTACTAAATTTGCTTACTTTTGTAATTTTTATACCGTTTTAAGATATACAATCAAGCGACATGTGATGACGTTTTGACAATCTTTCTTTTTTCTTTACGTGCACATTTATCGATAAGTATGTGTAACTGCGTATACAATATATTGCATCTATTGTTATTTGTAACTGTATTGTTATTTGTTCTGTGTGAAATTTTTGCATACAAAATAACTTTTAATATAA